TAATAATATCATGCAGAAATAATGAAACCAGCTAAAACTGAGGAAAAACACAAACAAAACCAGAAATTACATGTAATAAAATCATAAGTATTGTCAGGGCTCTACCGAACCATACTAGACTGTCATCACAGTTTGCATATGGCTGCCAGACCTACTCAGGTTAAGTGGATGGTTTTCTCAGGGTGAATTTATACATTACATTTAGACCATACTAAGGGTATTTCAAATGCAAATATCTGCACGTGAAAGCTTGTTAACTCATGTTAAGTGTCCTCTGAATGTCTCAAAGTTACACTTCTACAGGGAAGGGTTAACACTTCTTCAGGCAAGGGTTAACTCTACCAAGCTCATATTAGGGTAACTTCAGTCTGCTCCATGGAGATAAAATGAGCAGTTTGCAGTCCTTCAGCATCCCAAGATGCACAGCTCCCAGCGCTGCGCCCTGCACCCGCAACCCCAATCCGGAGCAGGGATAGAGCCTAGGTTTCCCAGTTCCTAGCCATGCCTCTGCTCAACAGCCTGTTCATGGCAGGTCAGAGCTGTGTAGGAAAGAAAAGGTATTAGCCCTTGATGTGTGACTGCTCACAGCATGCTCTCACTTTAATACGACTTAACATTCCACAGTTTTAGTATGGTCTAAGTGTATCATGTAACTTTACCCTCACTCGTGCTACTCTTGACCCACAAGACTTCCTCCGATGCCATGTATTAATTTATGTCTAACAATAAGTAAAAACTCCAAACATCTCAAAGCTGAGAACTGACACTAGAAAAAATGGATTGTATTTTAACTCAACCATAAAAGGCTACCTGAGAAAGAAAAGGCTAAATTCACTGCTGGCATAACGGGGCATGGTCCTAATGATTTCAGTGGAGCTGTACCTACTCACTCCAGTTATGAATCTGACCAATAGTCTTTTACTGGTGATAAAACAGACACAGGCAGAATGAAGAACACCCTGGTGCTGAGAAATTTCATTTTTTAAATTAGACATATTTTAGTTATAGGAGACTGCAAAAGTGGTTGAAATAATAAAACTTTTGGATTGCTGTAGTCCTTATCTTAAGAACAGCTGCAGTGATTTAAAATGAATATGATTAAAAGCAAATGTATATATTGCACCTTGACTTTGGTTTCAGACCTGAATGGATTTTAACTGCTGAGCAACAAACCCTTGAAAATGGGATTAATAATGGAAATATAGGCATGTTTTTAACCATTGTGATGCTGCTGTAACCCTTACGGTTCTACACAGTCCTTGGTCCACTCACAAAACTCCCAATGATATACACCCAGCCTAAAAATACTGTGGTGATCCAAGTTATTTTGGAAGTTACAGTTCATTATATCATGAGATTTCATGCAATAGTTCCGTTGTCGAAAATAAATTTACCACATGGAATCTCACAACATATTGTGCAGTAACTCAGAAAATAACTTGGGTCACCATTACATCCACACATTTATTTATATATATATGTATGCATGTATGTGTGTGTGTGCACGTGCACATGTGTGTACATATGTATTCATTAACGGCATTTATAGATGCTGATCTATTAAGTCATTTTTTTCCTATACTACCTTCAGACCTTTTGTATGAAGCAGAAAAAAACATCATTAAAGCTATGCTTTGCCAGACAATTACTTTGTCAAATCTCAAGAAATTGCATAATAAATTGTATACATGCATCAAACATGAACAGCAGAGGGGTATAACAAGCTATGTATTTCCAGTCCACTTGTTCTTTCATCTAAACAGTAGCTTTTGTTTTGAAGAAGAATCCTATATTCTTTTCAAAGCCTTGCATAAAATGTGCATATACATTTATCTATCAAACTAAGTAGAAATAATTGAAACACTTAATATGCACAGTAATAAAGAAACGCACGAACAGCTTCATTGTTAATGTCTATTGATTATTTATGTTTTCAAATAGTCAAATGTAGCTACTAATATTTTATCATGTTAGTCTATATGTGCACTTTGGCTTTACCTGTTTATTGGCAAATTTACTATCCACATTATGGGTG